GGGCTGGAGCACATGGCATAAGATGAGAGGCTGGGAAAGCTGGGTTTGTTCAGCTGGAATAAGAGTCACCTATGGTGGGGTCCAACTGCTGCCCTGCTGGGGGTCACACAGATGATGGAAACAGGCTTTTCTCAGACTCTTCTCTGAGATTCAGAGTGAAAGGACAAGAGGAAGCGGATGCAAGCTGCTGCAAGGGATTTTTTTCCAAGCAGATAAAAGGAAAATTTTCAGGGTGAGGTTGTCAAACATTTCAAGAGGTTGAACAGAAAAGCTGTGGAGCCACCATTACTTTGGAGATGTTCAAAACCCACTAGACACAGCCCTGAGCAACCCAATCTAAAGTTGCCTGCTCTGAGTAGGGTGTTGGAGCAGTTGACCTCAAGACCAAACTAATCTCCTCCCAATCTAAATTACTCTATGATTCTGTGATTCTGTTTGTAGAGAAAATTTCAGTTAAATAGCTGGGAGGACCTCAGAACAATTAGATGTTAGTCTGGGCACACCCTGGGGAAAGTTTACAGAACAGCCAAGAAAATCTTACTATTCAAATCAATTTCTCTGCATAATAATTCCTTCCCAAAGCTGCTGAGCTCAAGTCATAGTGTTTGAAGGATCAGGATTATATCATACATAAACCACATAGGTGATGAAATTTAGAGATAATTAATGATCATTATACTCAGCTTTTTACTGTGACACTTGAATGCACCACCCTCCTGTCAGAAGCAATGAACAAAGCAAAACTTCTCCCCCACATTTCTCATCAGCAGGCTGCTGAGAACCAGTATATGTTGGACATTTCTGCTGATGTCTTTTTTTGAAAGCACCATCTACTGAAATTCATACAAGGATTATTTCCTTGCCAATTTGAAGCTCTGTTTTGAAGCATCAGGGCTAGTTATACAACACAGCAAGTCAACAGAAAGACTCCCAGTAACTCTGGTAAACTTTTTTTGAGCTCTGAATTTGACTAGAATCTGAAACATGTCCAGTCTACACGTGTGCAGCCAGCCATGGAGTGTGTCTAGCTAGACACACAGATACAACATACAGCTTTCCAGCTCCAGAGAACACGTCTGAGAGTCCAGCGGGAAGCGGCTGAAGTCCATGTTACACATTGATGTCACTGTGACCCTAGAAGTTGAAAATGAGAAAGGTTGGTTTCTGAGAGGAACAATGAAGGAAGAATGTTAACACAGATAAATGATTTTGCAGCTTTAAGGGCAGCAATTGTGCATAATGTTAGCATAAAATCCCCAGGAAAATGCCTACCAATTCTCCAAGTCCAAGTGAGATGGATTATACACAGTCACTCCAAAGGAAGCTGTAATTTCATTACCTACCAGGGAACTAAATTACTATCTTGGATATTACAGCAACACTAATGTCAGTATGAATACTTCCACCATGTTTTATATCCAACTACTTCCCCACAAGACAACAACATAAAATAACTTCATCATTTACATTTGAAGATTGCCTTATGTCCAGTTTGATTAAGGTTTCCTCATTTTCCCCATTGCTTTGTTCCCTCCATAGTCACCCCAACAATGACACAAGCCTGAGCAACATGACCAACCTTATTGCAAGACAGAAAATTCCTCCAGGATAGACATTATTAAGGCAAAAGCAGTTTCTTTCAGTCCTTGATGAAATTCGTTTAATCTGGGGGGGTGTATTTCTGGGGCAGGGGGTATGAAATGGATGCAGCTGTTTTTCAACAAGTGGGATTTGCCTCTGTTAAGTTTGTGTCTTAGCTAAAGAGGTGCAACAATCACAGCTCCCGTTTTCAGATTAGTTCAGTTGTGCACAACACTACATAACAAGTCTTCCAGTGGGTCACTGAACTTCCTCTTGTGGATAGATTTGTAGTAGTGCTCCTGATTTAGTCGAGGCAAATCAGTTGTGAGTCATCATTTCAGAGGCTGACTTACGTCAGCCGTGACAATTTTCTAGATTCATTGCAGATGTTGATAAAGAACTTCTGTTCAAGGGATTGTGATCCAAATCCTACTTTGACTCATCACCCCTGGAAAGCACATGCTATTCATTTTTACTATAAAACTAGAGCAGAATTTTGACATATAAGCTAAACTTAAAGAAGCTCTTGGGGATATGCTCCAGAAGGTGTACTGTAGCAATGCCCTCCCATAGTTGTGTGTAGCATTTAAGCATTGTATAACTCAGTCTTATAGGAATGTGCTATTTTCTTTCCTCAGGGTCAACTAAACTGTGGCACAACCTGTCTGTGGTCATCAACAATTTGGTAGTCGGGGCAGCATAGAAATTCAGCTGATCAATAAAATATTCCTCAACTAATATCTTGGAGGACATTTCTGATGACACTGGACACCCATGCTTGGGCAGCTGGATCATGTTCTGAGTGTCCTAAACATCACCATGTCCAAATACCACACAGATTCTTGTTCTCCTTGGATTTTATTAATCAAATTATCCATTTAACTCTTGTAAAGTCAGTTGTGGTTACTCACATCCTTCTCTCTCATGGGGTAACATTAGAAAGTCACATCACCTCCTTGACAGCTCACAGAAAACTTTGAAAGTAAAAGCTCTGCATGTGGGCAAATAAGCAGACGCAAGCAGAGCTAATGTTTTCTGTTAAAAATACTTATTCCTTCATTCTAGCTGTTGAGCACTTCTAACTAGTGGTGTGATGCTGGTTTCAGCACATGAGCACTGTGGGACATGAGCAACGGAAACCAATATTCAGTTACAACCTATAGAGAAGATCCCTACCGTCCTCCTGCTCTTCTCCCCTCCGTGCTGACCCAACCTTACATCTAATCTCCTTCTTCATTTTTCTATCTCCTCCTTGTCTCTTCTGCTGCATGGCACCTTCATCCTCATCCAGTTCTAATAAAATAGAAAGCATCTTTACGTGCTTAGCTATGATGTGAGTAATTAGACCTTTCATGCAATAAATGGATTTATTAAATGGGTTCAGAATAGGGAAAGTGTTCCTACATATTTGGTCAAGATGAGATTTTCATCTTAAGATCAGGCAAAATGAAGTGGCCGCATGGTGTATACTCTCTTTCTTACACACACACACACACACATGCATTTCTTTGTGGTTTTAATAATTTGTCCAGGGTTTTTTTTAAATAAATTCAGTAGAATTATATTTGGACTATGAAACCAGTGAACTTTAGAGCCCCCTGGTTTGGTGGGATACTGTCCTACTTAGGACAATATTACCCACTATGCTCATTCTTCAAACAGAAATAGCCTCCTGAATCAAGCTTTATTTTTAAATTTCCCTTATTTTTGAAAATTATTTTACCATAGCTGAAATGAATAAGTTCCAAAAAGATCCTAGAACAGAAATCCTTGTGTTACAAAACATTCAAAGGTCACTCTGAACTGAGAACACATTTTCTGTCCTGGGGAAATGTTCTTTTGTCTGAGCTCTAAAGCTTTTCTCCTCTGGCAATGTATTTTTCTCTGCATCTCTTTTTGCATTCTTCTGAAGGAAATGAAATCTGCTGGGATGCTGATTTGAGCAGCCATGAAGGTGGCCTGTTTATATGGAGAAAATTACTAAGCAAATGAAAATAGCCACTGAAAAATACTGACAGAGAAAGGCCTGTCAGCCCAGGAAGCTGCAGTATCCTTGAGAAGCACAGCCAGCCTCTTTGAAGTGAAGCTGCATACCTAGAAACCTGATACATCCCGAAAGATCATCGATAAGCGCAAAAACAAGGGCCTTATTGTCTGAAAAGGTGGAAAACAGTTTGGAAAATAAAAATTGGACAGAAAGAACAAAAACCATCATCATCTATTGGCTGTTCCAGGTGAAAAATAGAAATTAACAGCACATATTAGCTGCTCAAAGTGGTGGCGTCCTACACCCTCTTATGTCTCTGTAATATAAGGAGGACTTAATTTTTGTCCAAAATGGAGCTTCTCTCGCTGAGAACTTCCCGTGCTGCACATACTTTTCCATTCCTAAACAGGTTGCATTCACTGCATGAACCTTCTACCAGCTCTTGGACTTTCACTGGGGATGCCCTGCTGACTCCAGCCTTCACGACACAGAGCATAGAGCATCTCTGAAGTGAGACTCTGTCTGTTGTCTCAGTAGTCCCCCTCTGGGCCCACTTTTAGGGTTATTTCGGTTTGCCCTCCCACCTGTGAGATAATTTGGTTCACTTGATCATGCTGTCACTTGATACCAGTATTATACAACCATATAAGCAATCTATCATAAGTATATCTGCTGTTAATATTGTTGATGAGTTGCTCCACTAGTGATAAACTTGTAGTAACCTGTAATAGTGCATATGCCTACTTGGTTATTGCTGTTATTGGCTGTTGCTATGCGATTTATTGATGCTATATTATTGATCACTGATAGTAATTTGTAATAGCATGAGATATCATAGAATCATAGAATCATAGTATGGTTTGGGTTGGAAGGGAACTTAAAGATTATGTAGTTCCAACCCCCATGCCATGAGCAGGGACACCTTCCACTAGACCAGGTTGCTCAAAGCCTCATCCAGCCTGGCTTTAAACACTTCCAGGGAGAGAATATATATATATATATTCATTGTATTAATCATAGGTATACTTGCTAGTGGTGATTTTTGTGATATTTTTGGAATCTGTAATAAGATAGAGAAGTTCAGAGGATAAAGCCTCCATGTCGTTGTGTATTACAGAATCCTGCAAACTCATAGTCTGTACACTCTCAGGCTGGGTAACCCTTTAGGCCATGACAGACATGCCTCAAGATTGTTCCAGCCAACAAAGCTGCTAGAAAATCAAGGACTACAGGGTGTCTTTAATGCTGCCATTTCAACTTCAATAAACTTAAACCTTTATATCAACATGCAAATGCCAACAAAAAAAAAAAAAGTTTGCTAGACAAACAGGAAGCAAAATAGGATAATTATAGAGGCCACCATCTGGTATATCAGGAGCTTCCAGTTTAATCACACACTG